ATTCCCTGTTGACTTCGATTCTGTTTCAGAATCAGTGTTGAAAGGCATAAAGAGTTGTTAATGTAAATAATATTTACAGTAAAGTTGCATGCTTGGAGATGTAAGCTTCTGCGAGTCTCATGTCCATTCTGTAGTCTGTCTTGTCTTTGATTCACGTAATAGCTAGTGTTGTACTCAAGTAGTGGGCAGGCCCTCAGAACCTGTTAAAGGGAAAACCCGAGGAACTGAGTGAAAAGGCTAAGTTATTACCGAGTATGGGCAGAACACTGCTTATCTCATCATCTCAAGGATTATAGACACTCATTTGCAGCTCCCTGCTTGTGCAGGGGAATTGGTTCCCAGCGATTAATTTTATGTTTTGGATGAGGATTTTCCCCTTTTTATTATTAATTTCTTTGGCACCTCAATAGTATGTGTAGATTTGCTACAGTATTTTCAGGTTTTCGTATAAACATGAGTGGCTACAAGGAGGATATTAAAAACCCCAATAAAAACGCTGGCGGTTCCAGGGCTTTCTTAGGTCATCAGGGAAAGGTAGGATGGGACTTGACTTGTAAAGCCTTGTCTGCTGTGCAGCAGGTATTCAGAGACCTTGGGGACACTGCTGTTAAAATATGAACTGCAAAATTTCAAACTTGTAAGCAACCTTATTTGGTGTTAAATGTGTTCCATCTTTCTTGATGGGGCTGTTGACTTTTTCTGCTAATCGCTTCTATATATTGTAATCTTAAAAGATTACATGGACTAGAGAGGAGGCTAAATTAGATTTTGAAACTTAAACTGTTAGAAATTGTGCTTCCTAGCAACGTCATGTCAAGTTTAAATGATGGATGATTTGGCCTTGCATATTGCTTTTAGTAGGGCATGAAAAAATTGAGTGTTTAGATTTTTATCTATGTCATGTAGATAAACTTTATGTAAATTTTCTACCTAATTAGCTCATCACAGTATCAGTACTGTAAAAATTCTTGCTGATTCGTTCTCTCAGTTTTCACAGTTTATCATGTGCAACAGGATATATTACTGATTGTGCATAATAGTTTCATAGTAAGTGTTCCAGCAAACAGCAAAGTTAAAGAAGGGAAAGGGAATGGATATTTTGCCTTTTAGTATGGCTACTGTAAAACCACTAAGAGGAAAATCCCTTCCTAGTGCTTAGGATTATGGTCAGTGCAATACTACCTTTCTTTTCCCAAGTCAATGCAAAGGTGTATTTGCCTTCAATGAACTGAGAGTTTGAATCCTGAGGAAGCAAATGACTGATAACAGTGGTGCAATAGCTACTCTTACTCTTTACTTTTTAATGTCAGTGAGCACATGTGTTACTTTGAGAGACACCTCTGTAGTATGTGTCGCTGACTAGACAGCTGTGTGGTTAGATTTATGTAGAGTTATCCTTCAGCTGCCTAATTAAAGACTCTGTGTAACTTCCTTAAATGGTATGTTGCAGCCAGTGATAAATACTGTTTTCTCCTTCAGAGATATTGTTATGGTCTTTCTTTCAAGTGCCTTAGTATGTTTTAACTATTTTTCAATGATTGAGGTGCATTTTTTTGTTTGTTCTTCTGAAGCCAGTTTGCTTTCACCTTCTGTAAGTCTCAAAATTGGATTTCTTCACATTAATTTGACTTAAAATAAGGGAGTGCTGCCTGTTTGCATGTATTAATCAGAGATTCATTTGTCAGTAAGTTCTATGCACTTTGCAGTAAAGGATTTATCATCTCAGATAGGCTTTTTTTCGGAGGAAAGAGATTCTGTCCAGCCTTCGCAGACATTGTCTTTTAGAGTTCTTGTGTATCTTCAGTGATCTTTTCTCTGTTCTTAGAGCAGTGCTGAGTTTTCTCTTAACCATTTGAAGGAGAGCTTCAGAAATACTTCCAGAAAAAGTCCACTTATTGCTTAGTGTTAGAAGCCTGTACAAGGAGTAGCAGCAAAAAATGATAACACATCTAATAATACACTGAAATATTGAATATAATCTAGGGAAAATCAAGACTCTGATGATACCTTAGAAGTAACTTTGACATTTGTGCATGCTGGTGTTTGGCATCTGAACTGATACACCCTGAAGAGCAATGAGAATCTTCCTGCTGACTTCACTAGAAATTTGAGTAGGGTGCAAGTGGAATACAAATGCTGTTGACATCCTGATTGATTTGTAACATTATAATAGACAATGCAGTATATGTCTATACGTCTCAATTAAGAATAGGTGTTCTCTCACAGGAATAGCAGCTGTGAAATGTTAAATAGCTTGTATCTGAAAAAGGAAGAAGTTACTCAACAAGCTAGCTAGAATATACCTGTACAATACTTGGAAGACTTTGAGCTAAAAGGCCTAGCTTGTGAAAACAACATTAGAAAAAACATATTTTATGGCAGGGTGCACACAGCTTAAGAAAGGAAGGTGGGAAAAAGAACAGAAGGGGAGAGAGAAAAAACGGGTGGGTCATTCAAGGTGTGCTGAAGCACCTTCAGTTTCCTCTAATCCAGGTTTATGTGCCTTACCAGCATGTCCCTGTCATCTCATGTGCTGGTGGTGAAGGCTCTCGTGAGCTGAGATACCAGCCTAATAAAGGTTGGAATGAGTTTTCAGACCTTCAAATTTGCAAGTATTTTTGGGTCTCCCAGCTCACTGATCATGTTTAAGGCCTTCAGAGGTTAATAATTATCTGATGTGTGATGTGGAGATTTTGTTTGGTTGGTTTGGGGCTTTTTTGTAGATTTTTATTTTTTTAGAACTGTTCCTCCTCATCCCTTTTCATTTATAAAGTTGTCCAAACTCAAAAAGAATCAGAAATTTGCCTGCTAAGTCTGCTGTAATGATCCATTAATAAATACTGGAAGAAATAAGCACCAAGTTTTTGGCCAGCAGGATGAGGAGCGGAAGCATAAGCATTGCTGCCGGAGGCATGTGCCAGCTGCCAGAACCGAGAACTCTGCTTGTGGTGCTATTTTAAAGTGCTCCTTCAAAGCGGCCTTTTCCAGGTTGTTCCCTCAGCCTGCAGTCAGTGTGGCAGAAGAGGGCTCGCTCCGTACCCAGCCTGTCCTGGAACAGCTCCCAGACAAGGGCCCGGTCCGAGCAAGAGCCCACAGCCACAGCTCGCCCACTGACCCTCACAAACAGGCCCCTCCTGCATGCCCGCACGCTGCCTTTCTTCCCGAGAAGCTGATGGGAGACCCGAGTAACGGAGCTGTCCCACTGACGCTGGAAAAACGCCAGCCCTGCCGGGGGCACGGCAGCCTCGCGCTTTCTGGAGAAGTCAAACGCGCTGAAGGTTTGCGTCCTGAGGCTGTGGCTGGGAAGGCTGCAGAGACGGTCTTGCAAACACAAAATCAATCTGAAGAGGAAAACAGGTGGAACCGGGAGTTAGAATGCTGCACCGTTTGTCAACAGCACGCTAGCGGGGGACAGATAGCCAAGTGGCTAACATGTGCATTTAGAGCTACTTTCTTACTTTTGCATTCTTTGCTACTTTCATGTTTTTCCTAAATTGTGATAAAGTTCTTCGTATGAAAACAATTTTCTGAAACCCCCCCCCCAAATTGTGAGCAAGCTGCAAGCAGTATGGCACTAATATGGTCCTAATACTGCCTTTAAAAAGGGACTTAGTTGCGCAATTATCAAGGAGAGACCTCAGTCTCTCTTAGATTTTTTATTTCCTCCTGATCTTTTAGTTTTTCAAAGAATGACTGGAAAGAATTGGATCTTTCTACATGTCTAGGAACAACAGAACAGCATCTCCGTCAGCACCTTGTGACGGAGCCTCTCAAATAAACAACCGACCACCAACAAATTCAAAAATTATTATGAACACAATTAACTAGCTCTCCGTAAATTACAGCTTCAAATGTCTGTGAGAGGAGAACAGAACAACTTTCTAGGGTTCAACAGCAACCCAAAACACATAACAAAGAGCTTTATTGGCAACCCAAACCACAGAACAAAGCCCCGCTCCCTGGGGTTTAACAGCAACCCAGAAGGCTTTATCACTCACCTGACAAGTGAGGGCTCTTCACCCTCGAGGACCTGCTCAGGCACCTGCCACACACATGCAAAGAGATTCCATTTCTTCCTATTGTTGGAAGTCACTTTCAAACATTAGAACTATCAGCAGAGCATTCAAGTTCCACCTTTACTGCGTACTCCAAGCCAGCAACATCCAAATGTAAATATTTTGCTGTAAACATTCACTACTGCTGAAGGGAGAAGATTCTGTGGGTAGAAGAGAAAGAGTTTGCTTTAGAATGTGTAAGATGTCTGTTCTTCTACCCCGCTGAAGTGAGGAACCTTAACCACATGGATGCCGGACAACTCGGAGAGAGGCTGGACAGGCTGGATAATGCAATGACAGGGGGGCTCTCAGCAGGAGGCGCTCTTCAGATAAGGAAGGAGCTGCAACTGCTGAGTCCCAGGGAAAGGGAGGGGACTCGGTGAATACTGAGTTATCAACATTATGGAAACACAAATTGGGTAAAAAGTCACAAGAGGAAGAGGAGGCAACTTCAATCTTCATCCTGAAGACCCACGACCACCACGGGCCACTGCGCAGGCGTAACTAGGAGGAGACCAGGGCGGAGCGCATGAAAATGACTTCTTAGAACTCATTAGAATAACCCCGCCTTTTCCTGGAGAGATCATGAATATGTACAAGTGGTTTTGGAACTATCATGAATATGTAACACTGTCAAATTGTTACTGATTTTGCTATCAACTGAAATTAAATTATGTTTGATTTTAATATGAGAATAGAATGAATAGATATTTTAATAAAAATAATTTGTTTGCATTTATTGCACTTTGAATCTGGCAGCCGAAAGCTACTCTAAAATCCCCTGTACGGCCCCGTACCAAGGCCAAGAGGATTGGTCAAAATTATCTAGTAGGAACGTCTGGAACCTAGGCAACAAACACAGAGTGATTTGTAAACTGATTTCTAATGCACACAGCGAACTATACGAATGTGGGTAGTTGTCAAGGTCTAGGATTATCCCTGCAGCGCCTAGCCCATGAGTGCCTCTCGCAGAGCTTCGACAGCGCCAAACGTGCCCCCGCCCTGGTGATGGCAGCCCCCAAAGGTGAGGGGGGGGCAGATGAGACCCTCCCCTACACCCAGTACCTGCCCCTCATCAAGGCCCAGATGGCCGGTGCCAAAAACATCCACAACGCTCTGCTGGAGGGGGCCAACAAAATCACGGGCAAGCTGCCCCCCCGGGGGAGCCCTGAGTGTTCCGGGGGTCCCCACGGGGGACTCGGACTCCCCCCAAAACCTCCCGCGGTGGTCTGGGGGTGAGTATGGGGGGTTTGGGCAGTCTCGGTGCCATGTGCCGGGCTCTGAGTGCAAGCGTGCTCTGCAGAGGGGGGCTGATCCCCCGCCCCGCTACAACAGGAGTTTTGGGGGAGCCCCCGCTGGGGTGCTGGACTCCCCCCCAGAAACTCCCACAGGGACCAGGAGGCAGCTTGGGGGGTCCCCGTGCACGGCGTGGAGGTGTGAGCGTGGAAATGGGGGTCCAGCGTCGGGTTGGGAGGTGCGGGCCCCCGCGGGGACGTAATTGGGAAGGGGGGCCGTGGGGGAGCTGGGTCCCCTGGTTTTGGGGATACACGCCCGGGCTTCGGCGAATAAACTGTTTTATTTCCGATGCCGGCTGCTCCGTGCTGGGGGGACCCGGGGGGTGGCATGGGGGGATCCTGCCCCGCCCCCGGGGGACCC